CTACTACTACTACTACTACTAGGGAAGCCCCGAAGCCCAAGATGGGAGCCGCCCTCAGGTCATCAACCTGGCAGCCTCGGCAATGGGCTGCGGTCCCCTGAAAGCAGAGATGATGAGGTAAACGAGCTAGTGTAGGGGCCTAAATAGTTACCGATACTATTTTGGGAGTTCCTTATCATAATTATAGTAAAATGGCCCCAAAACCCAATTCTACTTATTCATGTCCCTACATTGCTATCAAGAGGTTCTACCAGGATTACTATAACAATGGTTTCTACAAGGGTTTGCTTTGGGGCGCTGTGTGTAGTATAGGGCCCTGAAGAATTGTTAGTGACATCCCCTTTTATGCTGCATATAGTTCTAGTATAATATCCCCGACAGCCCTATGCTAAGCATACAGGCCCCTGTACTACTCCGATAGAATATGCTGTTAGATTTTCTAACAATAATTATTCATAATATCGAAGAATATTCTTCTGCAAGGTAACAACTCCCCTTCATCTCCCGGAAGCCAAGACGGGCATCCACCAGTCGAGCGGAGTGAAATTAGTTTATAGCAAGCGAGGCGTCCTAGCGCTGCCGCGGAGCTTCGCCGTCTGTGGGGTGCGTCCCGGCCGCCATGAAAAACGACTTGCTGCTCCTGCCTGTCATTCGTGCCATGCATCACCAGCGGCACCAAGATCGCCTTCTCAGAGTCATCAGCATAGGTCGCCTCCACGGTTGTTTGCATCTCCAGCTATTTCTTCTGCTTCCAGTTTTCCTCTTCACACCGTCATCCTCATCCTCGTCATAATCATCATCGTCCTCGCCATCATCATCATCATGCCGTGACCATCACCACCAGCAAGAAGCAGAGATAAAGGTGGTCAGAAGCAGATGCCACAGCAAGAGAAGAGTTGAACAAAGCGGCAAGGAGATGGTCCCTGGCGTTCCTCGTCATCTTCTCGATGTGCCATGGCCGACCAATCTGCGGCATGCTGCCAGTACACATGCATGCATGCATACATACATACGGATACCTATACATATACATATACATATACATATACGTATACATATACAAATGGATGTATGTATATGGCACACGAATATTCGCGCATATACTCATGCACTTGCAGATACATATGTGCTCGTATGCTGCTTTCTATTCTGAGATGCTTTGCAATTCTATAGTTGTATACTTAGATGTGTACCTACTGTTGTTGTTCTCTACTTCTATACTTCTTTCTCTACCCTTCTATCTATAAAGGCATGAACCTGTACAAATATGTACTTACCTATTGGTATAGTTATACATATATGTGAATATATACATATATATATATATATACGTGTGTGTGTGTTTAT